CCCACGAGCCATGCCTTCAATCGCCTTTGCCCCGGAGTTCACGGCCTTGATCCACCCTGTCTCTTTCACAGTGTTCAGATTGAGTCGCTTGGCCTCGGCAACTAAAATGAAGTTGTGGGAGGCCCCTGTATCAACAAGGGCTTGAGGCTTGTAATGGTGCTGAGGGCCTTGCTCTCTTTGTGGCTTCTTCTCATAATCTTGTCTTGTTGGGTTGTTGAAGTTGGAATTGTCGTACGGAGGGCGTGGGCGACTTGCTCCCCCACTCAAATTAGGGGAACGCGGGCTTTCTGGCTTAGGGGCTTCTTCATCTGACAAACTGGTTTCATTGAGTTGCTCCGCCACTGCCATTGCCATGGCGAGGTCCTGTACGTTGCGGCGTTGGAGTTCTAGTTCGGCCCATGCCTTCAGTCCGTCCATGAAGTTGAACAGTAGATCCTTGTCAGACATGTCTGTGATCTCCAAGATAAGGGCTGAAAACTCTTTAACATAATCGTGGAGTGAGTCCCCATGCTTGAGTGCTTTCAACTTCTTCCGCGCCAGGTACTCCACGTTCTCTGGGTAGAATTGCCGCTTTAGTTCTTGCTTGAAATCAGCCCATGTCTCAATGGTGCACGTACCCCGTTCAATGTCTTGGCATCGTCTGCGCCACCATAGCATAGCAATGTCAGTCAAATACATGATCATTGTACGAATTTGCATTAGGTCATCATCAATGCCAGCGGCATGGAAATATTGTTCCATTTGCCACAAGAAGTTGTCAAGTTCTTTAGCATCTCAGGAGCCGACATAAGGTGTGGGCTCCCGAATCTTCACACGAGTAGGGGCCAGTGTTGTGGAGGGGCTTGGAGTGCTGGCCACTAATCTCTTGAGGAGCGTCATGTCTCCTCCATTCAGCTCTCATCTCATCCACCTGGTCTTGGATGTCGGATCGAGATGAGCTCCCTTCTTGTCGGGATTTTGTTCCAAGGACTTCCTTGAGGGTTCTATTCAGTACGTCTTGGACCTCGTTCATAATGCCATTTAATCGGGCTTCTAACTCCACCATGGAGTTCTCAATTGTTTCCACATTCAGGTGGATTTCTTCTACTCGGTCACGCATCTCCCCAACAGTCACTTCACAGCGAAGGATGCGTGTGTCGAAGGCAGCAAGCATGTCAACTAACTTGTCTTGGATGTGCGACCCCTCGGGGCCTTCTTTGCAGTGGTTTCATCGCCTAGAGACTCATCGGTCTCTCTAGCATGGACAAGGCCATGCCTAATCTCGTCGGTAAGTTCCTTGTTGTGCTTCATTGCGCTACCACTAGTGTTGCTATGCAAGGTCATGAGCGTTGAGGAGCAACCTGCTCTGATACCAACTGTCACGGGGCTAATCGACGAGGCCCCGTGCGGTGCTCGATGGGGTCGAGAAAGCCTACAAATGCAAGCAACAACACACAAAAGGCAACAAGAAAGCACACAAATTAGACAAAAAGCAACTTGTATTGCATTAATCAGTGGTAAGCACAAGTACATAGTACAGTGTTGAGGGGATCTCGTGCTTAACCTTTACACGCTTATGAGCTCACTCGACTACCTACCTCCCCTTAAAGAGTACGTTAAGTTTTTGGAGGAGTGACAATAAAAAACATAAAAAGGATGAAAAATCATACTATATAATTACAATAACGCCATTGGCGGTCCCATACATGCATAGCCCACCCATGACACAAATGGCGGTGAAGGAATCTCTCGTGACAAATTTATTTTTGGTTTTCTCAAACTCTGATCTCATATGTACGATGCATTTTCCAAATATGCAACCAGAGATGGCACCAAGAAAACTAATGGGTTTTGAAGATGTTCTTGTTTTGAGATGCGCTGATGAGAGAACCCAATTCGTTCGGAGACCATTGGAAGTCGGAACAAGGACAAGGTTCTTCCTCCAATTCGGACTGAATTTCTCTCCACTACCCGCAGAGCCTCCGGTTCTGAATCTAGCATAACAAAAGTTGACACCCTTGAATCAACCTAATCTCCGGCACCGATTTGCAGTTCCAAATCCAAGACATTAAGTCTTCAGTGGTGCCATCTCATCGCTGCAGCGTTCTCTCCGGCAACCATTAATAGCCAATCGCTGCTGCATTCTCGTCATCCTCCACGATGACGGTGTTGTAGATTCCCACAAGCCGGCGACAGAGTGTGTCGTAGATGGCACTGTTGGCGGACGAGTGTGCGGAGCTACCTCCATGGAAGAAAATTATGATGGGGACAACCTCTGTACTCAGGGGACGCTTAAGCTCCGTGATACCCGGCTGAGTTTGAGCTTCATTGGCCGGGGCTGGCCGGTATATCCGACTAAGGAGGCTAGTTGCGCGGTCCACTATGACATCGAAAGAGACGGGATGTGTTGATAGTGACTTTTCGATCGAGGAACTCCGCCAGTTGGTGATTAAACGTCGGCGGAGGAGATTGTAGGCCACTTGAAATTGGAGATGAGAAATCAATTGGATAGATACTTATCGAATGAACAAAGAAATCAGGTATATAAGATGCCTCGTATCTGACAATAGGAAACCCTAATTTCGCCCTTTTCTCCATCCCTTTCTTTTTTTTAAGGCTCGGTGTTTATTGGAAGCGCCTGTTTGTTCTTTTGTTTTTCCATTTCTTTTATATGTTTTTTCTATTTTTTCACGTTTCACCCGGGGGTAAGAGAGAAAGATGAGCCGCCGACCGGTTATTGGGGTGAATTGGTGTAGACAGAGGTCAATGAATGGAGGTGGAAAGGATATTATTGGAATTTTTGATAAATATATTCGTCCCATTATATGATATGTAACGGAAAGTTAACGGTAAGATAGACTTGGTCAATTGTCGGAAAATTTAAAAAATTTTCCCTATTTTTTTTTTATCTATAGTGCAAAGGCGTGACGTGATTGGTAAGGGGTGCCTATTATCCATTGTCGGAAAAGCTAAAGTTAGTTTAAATAATTATGCAAACAATAAAATAACTTCTTACCTATTTGCTAAATTATATGGAAAATTTAAGTATTTAACTCGTAAAAATAGGGAAAGATTTGTTTAGGGTTGTTTATGGGTCAGGTTGGGTCGATTTACTGATGTTTTTCCAACCGACCCGACTTGGTCGAGTTACCTAAAATTAAAACCGAAACCGACTCTATGTTAAGCAAAATCGATTTGACTGGTTTGGGTCGGTTTTGACTCTATTTAGTGGTGACTTAGTTGTTGTTCAAGTGTTCATTTCTGCCTCTACATTCCCAAAGGAAACCAATATTTCCTTAATATTTTGTGGCGCATTCATGGATCCATTTGTAGAGGGAGCAGAGTCTGAGAGACAACTTGGTTAAGTAGGTTGTAAGTAGGATAGAGACAACTTAATTAAGTAAGAACTAAGTAGGTTGTAACTACTAATTAGGAACTAACTACTAAGTTGGTTCGGTTCGGATCAGTGTGTAAAAACCAAAACCGAATCGAATCATCAGTTTATGATTTTTTATAACCCGAAATCAACCGATGCTGAAGAAAACCCGACCAACTCAAATTGGATCAGTTCGGATTGATCGGTTTAATTGGATTGGGCCTTGTTATGAACAGCCCTAGTTTTGCTAGTGTAAGTGAGTGAGGGATTGACATGGAACGCTTCTTCGCAGTTTAAGTGGCAATCGTGGTGCACGTATTAGACCTATAGGACTCCTTCAGACTTTCAAGAGTTGAAACTTGAGAGAGTTCACACTTGCCATTAAGGATTCGTTTGGTTCATAGTCGAAATTTTAATTAGAATCAAAATCTTCCAAACATTAGAATCAGAATTATCTATTCCCTCCATCTATTTGGGTCCGGCTGGAAAGCCTGGAATTGGATTAGGTTAGGAGGGGAGGGACATTCCAGTTTCCAGACCTTATTCCCGCGAACCAAACGGACCCTAAACATGTTAATTTGCTTTTGGCGCCAAGGGCTTGGACATGAATCATGATTGGGGAGGATAGTTTCCTTCCCGGCCTGACTTGCTCATACTCGCAAAGTGGTAATCGTAAGAAGATGAAATCTCTGAAGCTAGACGCTTTCGCCGGTATTCGCTATTCTTCAGATTCATCAACTCGGCGAATCTGGTTGCCAGTTCACAAGACAAGAAGTTTACAGGGAAATCCCTTCCTAAGCCTCTCTCCTCTATCAGTTGGATCTGCCAACTATTCTCCCACTGCATTTCCATATCGCATGGTCTACCGATCTAAACCAAGTTTCGAAATCGTTTGTTTCAATCAATTGAGTTCGATGTCTTCAGATGACGATGACCTCCATCCCCAGAAAGATTACGATAGCATTGCCTCAGATAATCCCTGTTCCATGCCAACCTCCTGTTAGCTCTCTCCCTCCCTCCCTCCCTCCCCTCTCTCTCTTTCTGTGCGTGTGTGTGTTTACGTGCTTGTAGATGATATCAGTGCTCAATGTAGGTCATCAAGTAGCAGCTGCTCGATTTCTTCAAAATGCAGCATGGGTTGGCGTTGCAACCATCGTGAGCAAGATTTTGGTAATTCCTATGAAACCCGTATTTTTTTTTGGTGATTAACTTGATTCATCCCATTAAATTATACAAATTTATTCTTGTTCTATTTTATTTCGGATTATGGTATAGGGACTTCTCAGGGAGGTTATCCTAGCTGCTGTCTTCGGAGTTGGACCCGTGGCCACCGCATTTAAGTAAAGATTCTTTGCTCAGTTACTCGCATGACTATGTTTTCATTTTTTTAAACAATTCTATTTTCTTTTCAATTGAAGGAACCGCATCTTTTGTTTTAGATATGATATGTCAGTTCAGTTTCACGTGTTTATGAAATATAAGTTCATCAACCGAATTGTGTTTATTTGATGTTGTTGTCGTTGTTTTCTTTTCTTCTTTTGTTGTTTTTTAACCTTTTCCTTTTAGTGTTTAGTCTTGTCTTTTGTTTAAATCTTGTATTGGAGCCACTTTTTGTTTTCTGTCCATATCCTTGTTCATGCTAACAACTTATTTCAACTATCTATATTACAGGCATGCTTCGGTGCTTCCCATATTTTCCGTATCACTCATAGGAGGTCAGTGTTCTTCAAATATTAACGATATGCTTGTAAAAGTATTACGATCTTGTTAATTGCATGTGAGATCTTCATGCAAAGGCCAAAGAAGACTTTTATAATAGGTTCAGGTGATTCTGGTAATGACATAAGCTGTCAGTTATACTAGAAAAATTACACCTGCACTTTCCATAGGTCCTGTAACATAGAAATCTATATTTCGTAGCTCTCTTAGCAATGTGTTCATCTGCATAACTTATGATTGTAGTGCAAAAAGAACTGCTGTAAAATAAGTTTAAATTACCGTGAGTTCTCATTTTATGTTATTATGTGACAATCCCTCATTGTTTGGATTGATTTGGAAATTTTTGCAGGTGTAAATGGTCCCCTTCATATCGCTATGAGTACCACTTTAAGGTTGTGCTTTCTATCCGTGTTTGAAATGCTAAAACCTTAATGTACTGTTCCCAGGAAAGTTTCTCCCTTTTGCCTATCTTTAGAACAAATGCTTGAGAATTGTTGTCTGTAAGTTTTGTTGTTTCTAAAATTTGAATACATAGAGGTTTCTAATGCTAAACTAAATATCTAAATCCAAGTATAAAGATCACATGTCAGATTTAAAGGCTAATATACAAAGCTACTCTTTAAAAAATCACAATCTGTCATCAAGCTTTCACATTTAAATATTACCATTAATTTCTTTATGGATGCTGGGGCCTCCATGTAAAACCTCTATGGGATGTCTATGTATGAGAATCTTATGTTACAACATGATTCACAACTCTCATCATGAATATTAAGGATCTTAATTCAAATCCTACCATTTTATCATTTTTTTGGATATCTATCAATTACTGTTGAATCATATGATTCATTTTGTAAATCTTATGATATCCACTTCATATGATATGGAACATGTTTGTGATAGAGTACAAGAAATCTGAAATCTGTAATAGAGTTAAAGAATGGAAGAAAAGATGATCAAGATGACAGGATAGAAAAGAGAAAAGAGAGAAGATAAGAAGATTGTTGTAGATACTATATTGGAGGTCATGCACCTCCCACTTTTTGATTTATATATTATGGCTAAAATTACAAGTATACCCCTGTAGATAGCAAAAAGCAAATGAAAACATCATCATAATAGAACATAAATAGCATCAGTATAAAACATCTCAACACTTCCCTTCAAGCATACCATTGAAATGAGCCATGTTCAGTTTTGCTTACATGGATAGCATATGATATGTTTGGTCAAGTCATTCATAAGTATAGTAATCCCCTAGGTCCTAGCAAGGTGGGAGAACATCTCCTTATCCTCTAGTAGTTTGCCACCGGAAGAGGACATCCTATGATTAGAATCTAGAGGTTTGTCTGCAGGCTTCACACCCAACTTCCCTATATCCTTAAACAAATCCAACACATATTTCCTTGGGAAATAAAAAATTATTCTCTGACCTTGCCACTTTGCTTCCAAGGAAATATAGAAGTTCTTGCAAATCTTTTATATCAAATTCAGAGCTAAGATACTGCTTAATCTTTTCAATCTTTGGAAGATTATTTCTATTCACCACTAAGGGCAGTCAGTTCAGATATTTTATATTGGTGTTGTTTCTTTTGAAGAATTATTTTATATCAGTGCTGTTTATGTTCTGTTTTTATTGTTATTCTAGTTTGCTTTCATATATTGTTGTCTTCATCCACAAGTAATTTGTGGTGATGTAGGGCTGCATTGAATTAACAAGCCATGACATCACCATGTAATTCTCTTGCACCCATCTAGTGTGATGTGGATTTGTAATATCATGTTTTAGGGTTTCTCCTCTAATATATACAAGCTTCTCTTGTCCACCAATATTCAACTTTACAGATCATGCCCACTCCAAATAGTTGGTGCCATTTGGCTTTACAGACCAGCACATTTGGGGTCTCCTCAGCACTGCTTGTAATAAGGGTCTGGTCTAGGTTTTGCTTGAGACCAGTCCCAAAGGAATAGGTTTCAAGAATTTAATTTATCAACCTTTTCTTATCATAGGATTATCCAGGAGATGTCAATTCTATAGAATAAAGGAAAAAAGGAAAAACTGGAAATTTCTAAAGGGGAAACCCCATCCCCAGACCAAAAGCAAAACACACCTGGACAAGAGCTAGGCATTTGCTCCAAAGACTTTACACCTTAAAAAAATCTCAACTTCCCACTATACAAGTATCAATCGTATTAATCAATGACTGGGCACAACTTCCAAGACTCTTCTTTGGCCTTAAACAAAGCTGAAACATCGAAACTTTGGTTTTCTCTGAGTTTTGGGCAGAATCTCTAAAACCCTTCTCAGGCACTAGAAACACCTTTGATATGTCTCCAAAATCCTATTAAAGCTAGGCATTTGAATAATATTGATCAGCCCTTCTAAAATTCCATGCAGTAGAGTGGTTTTTCTCTGAGTTTTGGTAACCTACTCTGATATCAACTTGTTTGTGCGAACAAAAGAAATCTGAAATCTGTGATGGAATTAAAAGAGTGGAAGAAAAAATGATCAATATAAGAGAAGAATGGAAGAGAGAAAAGAGAGAAGATTGTGGGAGAAATTTCTTAGGGGTTGTGCACATTCCACCTCTCTATTTATAAATTGTGGTAAAAATTAAGTATGTTCATGCAGACATCAATAGAGAAAAGCAAATTAGAACAGCCACGGAACAGAGCATAAACAGAACCAATGTAACATATCTCAATATTGGATAAATTTGGCTGGAACTAAAGCCTGCCTTGTTGTTTCCTCTTTTTCTTTTATTTTTCAGAGGGGGTTTGTTTGGGGTGAAGTTTATTTTCCCATAGAATGAGGGTTGAAGAACCATTGTGACTTAAGTTGACTTTAAAGTTGAACTTGATTAGGTAACTGCTACCACCAAATGGCAAACTTATGTGGTGATTACATGTATGGTTGATGTGGATTTCAACATGTGTACATGCATACATACACACATGTTTCATATCTGTATGCTCCTTTTTGTTAAGTTCTTAAAAAATCACAAATAGTTCTTTGCAATTATAATATAATTCGCAATTCCATTTGATTCAACTTTCTCCAAGGTTTGGAATATGATCATGATTTTAAAAAATTCCATGCGATGTATTTGTTATTTTCCCAATCAAAGCACCAGAGGAAGACTTCACACATTCTTCTTGAATTGCACTTTCATAATGGCAGTCTTGATTTTTGGGTTCAGCCTGATATAGCCTATCCATAAGGTTCTTGATGTGGTATTTCTTCTAATAGCTGACAAGATATTAAATCACACGCATTACACTATTATCTTGGCAATCTCTTTGTAACACTGATTTATCTCCACGCTCTTTTCTGTTGCCATACATCAGAAGGACTTGATAAGCAAAGCTAGATGGTGTATTTCTATACCATATATCCTCTCAAAAGCAAAAAGTTCCCCTCTCCCCACTTTAAAGGCAATCAAGTTGTAGAGGGATATTGGAACTTTCATAATACTTCTATGAACACTATCCCTGTATGTGGATGGGGTCTCCAAGCTCTTCCATCGGTCCCACTGATGTGGTTTGCAATCATATTTCCAAAACCTCTATAACCATCTACCTGGCAAGCCTTTGTTTATTAACCTTAGGATGCAAAGCTCAGTTCTTCTATTTGGTCATGTTGTTATATGTTTCAAGCTTGTGACAAATAATACAGATACATGGAGACATAAAAACGTGTTGCTTGTTAATTGTGAGTGCTGATACCATGGCCGTGGGCTCAGTACCTGTTCTCATTGGTTTATCAACTGTAATACACTTTCCTACTCATTCTCTGAACACCCCCAACAAAATCCATTACAAAGAGAATGAACTCTTGGGGAATAGATCCACTGGCTAATTCTGTGTGAATATGAAAATCTGAATTCCAAGCTTAATCAATGTGGTTGAAAAATGTGAAGCACATCTTCTATAGTTCTATTTTATGTTTGTTGAGAACTATTTTAGATTTTATTCACATGATCAAGTGCTTAATTAGTATGCCATGCATTTTCTTATTCATGCCTTCTGATGTTGTGAACAATTTGTATTAGTAAGCTTTCTAAGGAAAGTGGGAAGCGGCTTGTACAAACTACATATTTTGTTATGCTCATGGTATGTTTCGAATCTCTTTTACCAAAATCCACTCACTTTTTGCTTCTCCCTCATTTTACTTCTAGACTTTCTGTTTTTGTGCAGATAGGATGCATTTTGGGTGCTCTCATTTTCATATCTGCAGAGCTTATTGTTTATGCTACTGCTCCTGGGTAAGCATTTCTTGGAAGATTGACTGAGGACTGTACTAATTAACCAAGAACTTGGAAAAAATTTGAATCATTCTTCATGCTTCCTTGATGTTATCTATTTTGCTACAATCAAATTCTCTTGGAGTTGAGCTATTCCTAAAATAGATCTTCTTTCAACACCAAGTAATGCCCTTGTTGGCATAATAAATATATGCTGCCTTTGTGGATAAATTATGAAACCAGTTCCTGGCTGTCTTTGTGGATAATTAAGTCTGCTCTGTTCAAGAACTTGCCATCAATACATCTTCTTTTGATTCTCTTTCCTTTTCCTCTATTTCCTTTTTCTTTTTTTTTTACTCTTTTTGGGTGGGAGGCTTTGGCTTGATTTCTGCGTCTTTTGACTTGAATGTATATGTATTCATATGGCCATCATCCAGGTGTCTGCATTTCTATAACAGAATTCATGGTTTCCCCAGTTGGACTTCAGTGATATTCCATCTGTTTCAGATCAATGCCAATGTGATTCCTAAGTAAGAAATTGAGTAGAAGTGTTATTCACCTAGACAACCTTATAAAGGTGGGTAGCTCTCAACTTCCAGCTTCAACTCATAGATTGTTAACTCCAAGTTGACTGCATGACTCTCCCAAGTTGACTCCATTCCAAGTATGGAGGGTCAAATCATGGTGGTAACTCCTTTTGCATATATGAGTTCTCCAAGCCAAGTGATGTGACTTTTTTGATCAATGGCTTAGTCAATTTTTGTTGATTGGTACTGCTGGCCCATGTCACTATTAGATATGCAGTATTTTAAAATGCAAAGATTGGTATACTGAATATTTAAAAACTTAATAATAAATTTATTTCGTTTAGCATACTTCTCTAAAAATTTCAACTTATTGAGAAAGGATACATAATTAGGTCCATTATGAAAGCTCCCTAGACGATCCCACCTACTTTTGCCATATGGAGGAATCCTATGGCCAATCTGAACTGTCCATCACATAGGGGATTCTCTAGATTGACCACTTTTTCACTTCTCTTATTTGCACTATCTGCATGCTGCACCAACTTAGAAGGTCCAGAACAAGATATCTTGCAAAGCACCATGTTCATCCCCTTGGAGGTCTTCATCCCAACCTTTGGTGGGCTTACTCACCATTTATAATTCACATATTTATCTTTTTTTTTTTTTCAAAAAATCCTTACTTCCATCTTGAATGCCTTTGGAGTTTGGAGCTAAAGGAGTCTTCTCTCTACCAACATGCACACCAGATTTTTCTTTAGATCTCAATTAAAATATATCATACACAGGAATCATGGGTAGGTGATAACTATTATATCCATATGGCTTAAGAGAGACCAAGTTAATTCTACAGAACGGGTGTTATACCAAAGCCAGATGTTGCTTTGATAATTTAACTCTAGTGAGATGCTCTTCATGCAGACACGCAACCTTTGAATCATAGCAATTGAATAAATTCTTTCTTTTCTTTTCTTTTCATAAGCTGATGTGATTAATTCTTACGTTGAATATTGTTCTCTTATTCTTGGCATATATTGTGTTGTATAGCTTTGTTATTCTGTTATGGTTGTTACATCAATATGCCATTATATGGGTAATATGTTTGTGAATCTGCATCTTATGATCATATCAGTTGGCGTCCTGGAAGGACCAAATCTAATTGAGGAAAAAAACTTTATCTTTCTGATTGCTTTATTCTTTTTTAAATGAACCAGTTTGTGGGTGGCAGCAGAATGTCAAATAACTAGGGAAATAGCTATCAGACAGGTACAAATTACAGCATTTCAATTTGTACAACACAAGACCATCTTTATCTTTTGGTTTTTGACTTCCATCTTGTTCTTTTTCCATTTTGGTAGTAGTTAGACCTTCATCCTGTTGTTGATCATGATTCTTTATGTTTATGCAACAAAATGGCTTTTTCAGTTTTGGTAGTTAAATTTGGAAGTGTAAATGGTTTACTGACAGATGGTTAGATACTTGAGAAACCAAAAGATAAGTTAGCCGAGGATAACTTAGGAGGGGTGCTAGGCACATAAGCATTGTAATCAATATATCTTTTTATGAAAGCAATAAAGTTCTGTTTGTTACTGATAAAAAAAGGTTTAATGATGGATACTTATCCAATATATTTACAATTTAACTACTTATTTGTTTATTTCCTGGATTGATAGAAAATATAAGTCTTTGTAGTTTCCAAATATTTGGTGTATCAGAAATATATTATGGGATGAGGTTGTATGTAAAATCTCTAACTAGCTTTGGAGATATCAAAACAGTTAAAACCCCAAAACCATCATTTGGTCATAAACAGTTGATTTTGTTTAGGAACATTTAAAATTTTACATTGGATTGTTCCATTGAATGCTTTGTTTTATATGTTGTTTTGAAGAAGACAAGGCAAACATTTATTTACTATGAAATAAACTGAAGCTACAAAGATGGGAAGAGGATCCCAATCATACAGTGAGGGACTATATTCAACCCCATAGAATCCAAGACAAACAAGGACAAATACTACATACAACAACCATCATTCCCCAAATATATTCTGCCTACCCAATAATTCCCAAATAAATGAATTCCAGACACACTTGCTGACAGTGAACCAAGAACCTAACCTACCCACCACCTTACCAGTTTGTCCTCCTTAAGGGCTTTGTCTACAAAAACTCTCTTGTTCCTCTCAATCTGGATAGACCAGGAAATTGTTGCTGGTATTGAGTGCCAGACCACTTTTCCTTTATCGGTCAGGCTATCCACCTGCCAAGCTTCCAGCAAACTTTTTTGCCCTTTTGTTGTAGGCCTCTGGGAGAAAGTTTTTGATCTTTTTGGTCATAGGTGGATTGTGCCTCTGCAGATTGGAAATCTCTTTGACTCCACAACCTTCAGTTGGCCAAAGAAGAGAGGTAAAGTCACGTGGAGATGCATTAGGGCTGCTGTGATATGGATGGTGTGGGAGGAGAGAAATGGTAGAGTCTTCAGTGACAGAGAAAGGAGTATGGAGGCAGTTTGGGAGTGTATTTTTATAGAGCTATACATTGGGTTAAAGCCTCAAACTTGTTCTCAGATTTCTCTGTTGATGACTTGTGGAGAAACTGGGGAGCTGTAGCTAGAAGTTCTACTGCAAGGAACAGACCAGTGGTAGCTTGGGAACCTCCTGATGAAGGCTTTATTAAGTTGAACTTTGATGGCAGCAGTCTAGGGAACCCAGGTCCAGCTGGTGTAGGAGGGGTCTTTAGGAATAGTGAAGGACTAATTGTTGCTGTATTCTCAGGCCCGGTTGGAATAGGGGACTCTGTTTTTGCAGAATTCCAAGCAGTCTTGCAAGGAGTACATATTGCGAGAACTAAATTTTGATAGACCGCTCATTGAAGATGACTCTAAATTGATAATAGGGTGGCTGAAGGAACCAGAAACAGTGAGTTGGAAGTACAACGGACCTATGAAAAAGTTCAAATGGCTAATTAGAGACATGACAGTTCTTGTGAAATGGGAAAGGCGGTCTGCAAATGGAATGGCTGATTATTTTGTGAAGATGGGGGTGTTTAAGTCTGACCTATTCTTGGCTCAGTTGTAATTTGGGTCATTGTAGAATGGGGTCACACCTTGCGTCCCTATTGGGATAGTTTGTCTTCTAAATCTTGATGTAATCCTTCTTTTTTAATAAAATGCTATCATTTATCAAAAAAAAAAAGATTCCAACAAAATTTTGATTGTACTGGTCTGCAAGTTCAACATTTGCCTGACAAAAAGCAAACCTGGGGTATTGAAAACTTTTAAAGGGTAAATGTTTTAATTGGGTGATATTGCTTTGAGTTTGTTGATTAGGGATTCATTTGGGCATGCCCTATTTTAGATAAAGGGGCCATGCCCCTAATTATTAGACAAAAAGTACATGTTTTAAAAGACAAAATCACTGCTACGTATTAACAATATAAACCAAGAGAACGGGAATTTGGTTGGTTTATCCTTAATGGGAAGTTTCGAAAACAGTCCCCTATATGTTTATTTTTCTGTCATTTTTTATAGTTTCCTTCTATTTTCTGTTTTTGTATTTTTTTTTATTTTATGATGTCACTTGACTTCATGGATTGAACTGATGTAGAGTGGTTGCCAGTTGCCACAGAGTTCCTAGAGCAGTTGGACCAGAAGAAACTGGGCCAAAAGGCAGAGAAAATGACCTAAAAGTTTATAGGTCCTAACTTTTAATCTAGATAAATGATGCATATGATATATGAAAATGCATACAAAGGTAGATTTTGCTTCTATGGCCCTAAAAATGGCCAATTTAGGAATTTTACTATTTTAATAAGTCTTGGAGTCTTGGATTTTTTCCGTCTTTGAGTCTGATTGAGTCCATAAGTTGGCAATCATGTCATATTAGGATTTTGGGTAAATTTTACTATTTTTAGTTACCTTACTATTTTGGATAATTTGAATCTAAGTTGAAGTTGGAGAGTCCGAAGTCTATTAATAGGCTTGTAATGGTTGAAGTGCATCTTCTTAATGAGAATTACAATGTTTTCCCAGAAATTTCTTTGTTTTTTATGTGGTTGATTCAAGAGGCTTATTGTGTTTTAAAGATGGTGCTCTTGTCATACGTTTTCATGCTTACCTCTATCTCAGGCTTGCATGTTTGAAACACCATATTGTGATTTGTGAAAAATCAACCTCTAGTACCTACTGTTCAACATCTGATTTGGTTTTGAAACTGCTGCTTGCAATTTAAAAATGCAAATTTTAGATATAATTTTTTATTATTTTAGATAAAAACCACCATCTCAATAATAAACTAAACAAGAACTAACCAAAAGGAGTTCCTTTTCAACATTGTTAATGTTTATAATTTTCTTTGATTACATGCACGTTTCACTTGTGCTGTGTGACAATTCGTATGTAGCTTATCTAAACATATTATGAGTTTCATGCAACAGCTTATGCAAAAAGAAAAACTGGTCTTATTGCCCCCTTTGAACACTGACACATCTTATGCTCATCATGTCTTCTCTTTCAGCTGAAACTAATGATCCCTTGCATAGTTTTTGCTGGTCCCATTGGACTTGGCTATGGATGTCTAAGGCAAGTAATATAATACATCATTATACTTTTTTATCTTCATTGGTCATATTTCTCATGCTACTTATGTATGAAAGTTTCATAATCAATTTCAGATGTTGTGTTTAGTGCAGAAGGTGATAATTTTATTCCCTGTATGAGCCCTGCTCTGTCAAGCATTTCCATAATTCTTTCGGTAAGTCAGCTTCATATTGAGTATTGCATTAAGAATTTTGAACATGATGTTGTCACCATTCATTATCTTATTTCTCCATGTTTTTTTTGGGAATATGATGATTTAAATAGAAATCTGGATGTTTTTCTGCAGTGCATCATGTATGTTTGCATGAAAAGATCAAATGCTTACTGTCTGGATGATGTTGTATTTGGTAAGGCATTGAACTTCCATTATGCAGGTTTCTTTACTGGCATTAGATGTATGGTTACCATACCAGTAAAGAATGCTTTATTTCAGGAGGAGTGGTGGTTGCTTGTGGAGCTTCAGTAGGTGCTTTTCTTCAGTGGCTTATCCAGGTTCTGAAATTCTGTGATACTCGATATCTATGCATTCTTCTACAATATTAGTTAATACAACATCTTCCTTCTTGACCCTTTATCACTCCATATATCAGGTCATTATGTATGAGAAAATGGGATATGATTTTGTTGCAATTTCATTCTCAAATGTTTTGAAGGATGAGGTTCTTCATGAGGTTGGTTTTGTGAACTGTAGTTGTATCCTTTATTAAGGATTTTACCTTTTTCCATCAGTAATTAGTTAAAATGTGTCCTGGCAGTGCTTATTGTCTTTTCTGTATGTAGTTTTTCATGTTGATGCTTCCGGCAATATTAAGTTCAAGCCTGGCACAAATAGCATCTTTTACGGATCTTTATTTTGCATCGTTCATTCCAGGTGCTGCTGCAGGTCTCTCTTGTAAGTAATCACCACATCATCCATTAATCACACTGTCATAGTAAATTCAAGATTCCTATTTAGTACATGATTTGTTTTGGATGATTTCATCCTAATTCTTAGGCATTTTATATAAATTGACCAGATTCCAATTTAAAACAAGAAATGGAAATTTTGAATGCCATTTTTGTTTAGGTGAAATTGATGCAGAAGTTGGAGAACCTATAGCTTCTAACTTAAATCTTAAGAAGAAGTTGGAGAACCTATACCTTTCCACAAATCCTTGGAAAGGTATCATCTCCACCCATACTTTTTTCTTTTCTTTTATAAGATATAAAGTGGGAAATGGCTCTAAAATAAAATTCTGGAAAGACCATTGGTGGGGGGAAACTACCCTCTTTCCCTAGACTTTTTAACCTTGCCCTTGACCAAGAAGTCACTATTTCTTCATGCCTTCCAGACCAAACTGTTAAGAACACCCTAAACCTTTGACTTTGAAGACCCCTAAGGGATTTGGAGATTTCTGAATTAATAGACTTAAATTCAGACCCTTAAAGAAGCCTACATCTTCTCCCCCTCCTATTCTGACACCTGAATCTGGACCCTGCACCCTACTGGCGAATTCTCTTCTAAGTCTATGTTCAAGGTTTTGATTGCTGATGAACAACATTCCTCCTTTCCTTTTAAGATCTGGTGTAGCCACATCCCTTCAAGAGTTTGTTTCTTTGTCTGGGAAGCTCGTCTCCAGAAATTAAATACTAGTGATATCTTGCAGAAAAAGTTTTTGGGAAGACTGTCCATCTCTCCTCATGTTTGCATTTTATGCACCAGTGAAGGTGAATAAGCAGATCACATTTTTCTTCACTGCAAGTTCACCCAAAAGATTTGGTTCCATTTCTTGAAAATGGCAGGTTACAGCTGGGTTATGCCAGAGCACATTATGGACTTTCTGCATCAATGGCAAGGAACAAGTTTAAGTAAAAGGGGTAAAGTTTATTGGCAATCAGTGCTACATGCAGTGTTGTGGGGAGTTTGGGATGAAAGAAACAAGCACCTCTTTGACAACAAATCTAGGCCCCTGGAGGAGTTAATTTCAGACATTACTTACCTTTGCAACCTCTGGACGGTGAACTCAGATCTGTTCAAAGGACTCTCAGTCAATGATCTCAATAGAGATGCTTACCCCTTTCTGTTTCTCCCTCACCTCCATCAAACATCCTTGAGACATCCCGACCCCATCAGTGAAGGAGTGATGACCCTAAACTTCGATGGAAGTGCCTTAGGTAACCCTGGCTTAGCTGGTATTAGAGGCACAGTAAGGGGTGAAAGGGACAACATTTTTTGGACTTTTAGCGGTCCAATTGGTTTGGCTGATTCCACAAAGGCTGAAGTGATGGCTGCTCTCACAGGAATCAGAATAATAAAAAATTTGGGAATCCAGAATTTAATCATTGCAGGTGATTCAGCAAATACTGTAAATTGGTTAAGAGACAAAGAGGGGGGGGGGGACCTTGGAGATTGAGTCACTATTTGGCAGAGGCTAGGGACTCTTTGGACTGTTTAAATGTAAAATTAGTTTGGATTCCTAGGGAACACAATCATACAGCAGATGACTTAGACAAATGTGGTGTGTATTTGGAGCATTTGTATAGCGACAAGCTTCCTCCTTTGTAATTTGTAGGGGTTCTTCCCCTGCTTTGTACATCTCATGTACCTCTTCTTCCTTTAATGAATCCTGGTTAAATTTTCTAAAAAAAAGCATTAACTCTGTTACTTTTACTTTCTTGGGAACTAAACTTAACTAGTCCAACCTTGCTTGGAAAACACTTATTACTGAAATTATAAAGAAAATTCTAGGGATCTAGAAATTATTATTTTCTTCCTAGGGTTACAGAGAACTCAATACATAGATACACCATACATCTTTGGGACTGCAGAACCCATAATGCCACAACACATTTGCATCGGATCATTTTCTAACATTAAAATGATATTTTAGGAGATGGACTATTACTAGAATATACATGCATTTTTTCTTTTAAATTCCTGTTTATTCTAGTTCTGAAGGAATAAGTGAATAACTTTTCACCTCAGTGGCTGTCAAAATCAGTGACTCTAAGAACCTACACAAATCTGTCCTTTATTCCTTTTTCTTTTAAAAAAGCTACTTTCTGAAGTCTTTCTTGATGGTTTAATCTTGTATTGGCTTTTGCAATTTCCCTACACTGCTGACTTTTCTAAATTATCAGATGCACATCTCCTGGCAATGGCTCCATTGGGCATACTATCTAGCATAGTCATACTACCTCTTTTACCTACTTTCTCAAGGCTGGCAAAGGTAATATTAAGTCCTCAATAGTAAACGCTTAACTTTTATCTCTAATTTCCCAAATGACCATTTCAAAAACTTGCATATGTTGCAGTGTTTGTCATGGTCATACTTAATGGATGATCTAAAACGAGCAGTTCTGATTTGCATGGTAAGTGGAGGATGATTCATGTTTTCTTTTTTAAAGGTATACTTGTCAAGAGGCTTCAGATTATCCATTATAACATTCAGTAGCAACCACAATATCCATTTTGATGCAAAAGAATGACGTGGTATATACATGATGATAAGGACAAAATTGTTAATGCAAGACATGAAAATTAATGCTGTAAGGAATTAAGGTCTAACAAAAATATGATAATCTTTTTATTTTTTTTTTGCGAACAAAAATATGATAATCTCAATGTCAGATAAAAACATAAATGCAATGTGTGGTCTTTACCCCTAATCATCATCTGGAATAACTTCACCTTAGTATGCAAATACAGATTTTCTGGAATACTTAATCACCATGAAAAAGCTGTAATTATGACATATCTGTAATTCTTATCCATTTGGAAGTTCAGAGTTCGTGATCTTATTGAGATTTAAACCAAAGAGTTGGTAACTAATGAACTCATCACACATATCATCTACTTTAGAAACTCAATGCAATTTGCTACAGCTGCTGCGATTTAAATTAAATAATCCCTATGAACTCATTGCACATCATATACTTCAGTGGCACAAGGAGGTTGGGTACAGCAACAGTTTTAGTTTGAAAAGATAAACTACTACTTGAAAACACTGACTGTTCACCCAAGGGATTTCCAGAGTGCAAGGCTTATCCTGTCCATATCTAGATTTGCATAAAGAAAATGGTCTAATAGATGGAAAGAGAACTTGTATTGCCATGGAAAAAAAGCCTAAGATTATAGAACAATGCCATCAGAGGCATGGAACATAATACCAAGTTTTTCATGAAATAAGAACGAATAGTTGGTCAACCTAGAGATGGAGTTGGACTTATGTAAGGGAACACAGAGGAAGTTAGGTGAGAATTATGGGAACCCTTTTAATAGGAATGACAAATGGAAAATTTGAAAGCATTTTTTTTTAATTGAAGGATATCAAATCAGAAGGTTGACAACACAACCACACTTTGGACAAGATTTATTTCCATAGATAAATGAAGGATCCAATTAAAGTTTGACTTTCATAAATCATAACATGCAATTGAACTCCTTAATAGTGGCCTGGTCTAATAGAAATTGGCTTTGTGAAATATGTGCTTCTGGTTGTCTATAACAGATAATTGTCCTACCTATTGCATCGATTATGATTGCGTTGGCAGAGCCAGTTACCAGTGTTTTATTTCAAAGATTCAAATCTGATTCCAGTGCAAGTGCTATGGTTGCACCATTGCTTCTTTGTTGTAAGTATCATGGTTTTGTTCCTTTTTTCATTGGTGTTTGTTGAGATTCTTCAGTGTAGAACCTCATCCATTTCTCCAAGTAAAAAAGTTCATTCATTGTAACACTGTATGGCCTATGGAGTTATAATATTGAATCTCTTCCATTTGTCCAATTTTATGGAAATTGGTTGCCTATAAAATGTTCTCCATTAATGCAGTTATATTTGAAGTTGCTTTTTTGAGTTACATGAGATCAATTAGATGATTAACTAATACCTCATGAACCATCTGGACTTCATTATTGTTTCTACTCATGAAACAGATTCTATTGGCTTGCCATTTTGTATCATCCGGGAGTTGCTAGTTGCAGTCTTTTATGCTCTAGGAGATGGAGAACAGCCATTTCTGATCAGTGTGTCAGCAATTATTCTGAACGGTTTCCTGGATTGGCTCTTTGTTTCAAGGTTTCACCTTGGAGCACAAGGATTGGTATGTTGCAGTTTTACTTTTAACCACATTCTGTAGATAAAGAAAATAATGAGGTGTTAAACACTTCAGCATCTTGTATTGTTCTGATGAAGCTGACTACATTGTCAAGGCACTTTCAACATCATTTGTAACTACTTTGTCGACACTGGTACTTTTGCAATGCCTCTTGAAGAAACTTCCAGGTAAATATATCCTTGTAAATCTACTATCTGTGTATTATTTGCCACCAATGAGTATATTAGGAGATAAGGCATGCATATGAACTTCCCACCTGGGATGTCAAAATCAACCTTTTCAATATCCTTCTTCATCTGTCTGCCTGAAGTTCTATTATTCATTGGAACAGCACGATATATATCTTGAATGGGACCAGTCATGGTGGAACAAACCCCTCTATGGCACTTTTCCAGAAATACCATCAGTAGGCGGTATTATAAATGAAGTAGGTTGTATTTGCCATAAGAACTGGGCAAGCCCTTAGATATGGTCAGTTGAACAGAAATAAATCTTAACATTGTTTATCACTTGCTTTGCCAACTGGCAGTCTTTTAAAGACATGTTTATGTACTAGTAAAACCCGTACTCAGTGTAAAATTTGTACCCTGGGGCAAGTTGGGTTTGGTGATGAGATAATGGGAGTGCAATTTTTAGAAGTTCCAAAGGTTTGGATCCCCTTCAGAGTTCAGAGAGGTCGGCAAAATTGGTAAAACAGTGAACTAATCCTATGTATGCATCCACCCTTTTCCTTTTATAAGGGTTTACATTGGTGCATAAATGGTGGATTGTTCAGTGATTGCAGTGTCTTGGAGGTATGCTCTTACAGTACTAGCGTCATGGTTGTATTACCATTCCATTTCAAAATGTTTGTACCATGTATCTTTTTATTTTCCTCTTTTCCTTTGCTATCGATTTTCCATCAAGATGAACTGCTGCAAGGTTTTTATGCAGGACTAAATGATTCTAAAGAGCTGGTTAGTCCTCTTCTTCTCCTACTTCCTTGCTGCATCGTCGCAGGCTCTCTTTCATCTGTTGCACATAAGGTGCTCTGGAACTTCTTGTCTTCCATCTCGATCCTAAGGCAAGTCCTTTTCTTTGTAAGATTTGTTAATACCTTATCCAGTATAATTCTTAATTTATGTTGTCATCATATTTAATTGCAGGTTCTGTAGGGTCTCTGCAATTTTGTGTATTTCCCTGTCTGCTTTGGTGGGGATGTTTGGTTTTTTCATTCCACTCGTGATCCTTAATTGTGTAGGATCTAAGCTGGTGAAGGATCTTTCTAGGACATTGTTAAATAGATAAAATAAAAATAATTCTCCTGATTCATCTCTTAACCCTTTCATTGAAAATATCTTTTCCCGTTCTGATAAGAACCATGTGTTGGAAGAAACCTTCAAATTATCCCTCCAGGAAGCTGAAAAGTTCCTTATTCCCATCCTCCCACCTTGCTTCATAATTTAGTTTAGTTTATCATCCCTCTTCAGAATGAGATTGGCTTGAGTCAGTGCAAAGCCCGTTTGAACATCGTTCGAACAGCCTTACACTGGGAATATCTGTAGCTATGTACTTTATTTCATGGGGAGATATTCCCAATGCAATGCGATGCAATAAAGGCTGTTTGAACGGGCCTTGCATTGACTGAAGCCGAGTTCCTCCAGAACAAATGTTTGTGGTTGGTGTTAACAAACGTCATAGCAAGGGGAGGTGTGAATCCAAACAAGTAACGTGTGCTTTTGCGCATAGGGGAGGATATGAAAGATGGAAAATTGAGTTTCGACTAGAAATAGGATCCACATGGGAGCTTTGAAGGGGATTGATACCATGCATTTCTAAGGTGGAAAATGGATCCGTCGTATGAGTGCCGTTATGCATCTAGTGAGGAAAACGCTTAATAAACTCAATTTAAGTCATTCGACCCATTTTAATTCTATGTTTAGGGTGATGTCTAAACTGTAGGATTAATTTGAATCTGTCGTGTTTAGCTTCTTATGCTGTAAAAAAAAAAGAAAAGAAAAAGAAAAAGAAAAAGAAAGAACTGGATAAAACTTTAACCAAATTTGAATCTGTCGTATTTGGTGGATTTGAATAAAATTTGGATTACAATTGGATGATAAATAGTATCAATAAGTTAAATTAAAAATGATCAAAATATTTTATGTTATTAATAAAATGAACTAAAATTGATTTTAATATTACATTTACAAATAAAATGAATTGAAAAATGCTTATATACAATTTAGTGAAAATTTAACATTGACACCAACTTCAATACAATATGATAAGCATATATGAGCACATTTGCAGCCCTAGTTATGCTTCCATTTGTCTAACATATTCCTGTATTTTTTATTCCATCTTTGGGATATCATATCAGTTATGTATCTTTTTTTTTACTATTGTTAACATGGACAAGCAATGTTGACTGAATAACCATCTCAGTGGTAACTTGTTTACAGTGAAGATTTTTCTTTTGTTCATGTCTCAAGAAAAGTGAATTAAGATTTACCCACTAATTTTGTTATACCATCGCAAAGGCCTCATTCGTTTTCCTAGAAGTATGGGTGGGTAAGTTGGTAGGTCTGGTGGAAAAGAAATAGACCCATCTTTGTTTTTCGATATTAACGGGTAGTATTTTTTAAATGTGGGTAAATCACTTGCCCATCCATGTCAAAAATCACTTATATGTGATGGTAATATTGTCCTTTCAATAATCACTTTCTTAGATAAATTAGTTATTGTACACTTTTACTTGGGGAATAAATTAATATTGATAAATGCTCTTATATACATGTGTTTCAATAAGTGCATTTACCCAAAAAGTCATTTACTGAGATGAACAAGGCCTAAGAATCTAAGATATGTCTTCCATTCAGGGGCTCCTGTTGCATATTATGCTCATTTTGATGGATCTCAGCTTGAAATTATTCTCAACTTCTAGCCTCCCAAACTGTTGTGTCTTCCGATGGTTGGGCGGATAGTTTATAATTGTTGAATCAAGTGGAATGGTGGATTGTTTCAAGGATAAACTAGGTTTTCACAAACGTGTGATTACTAAGATCTGAATTGTTCAAAATCATCCAAAACTAGATATGATTTTTGGAATTTGACGGTTCTGAATCTCCCTCATGCAGAATATTTCCCCAACATGTGTAAAACGGTCTAATAAACACCATCAGAAATAAATCAGTGATCCATACTATTAGTATAGCCGCCGTCTTATAATCTTATTCTAGCAAGCAAAATTCGGATTCAACCCTTCCCATTGCTGCTCTATTAACTTCTTTTTGTTTATTTTGGAGGGCACTATTAACTTCTTTTGCTGATGCAATAAATGGGAGCCATTTGAAAATCGAGTGTCGGCCCACATCAAATGTTTTCCGTTTCTCAAAAATGATTGGAATCAATTAATATGGAGACTAGTTGCATATTCGCGAATACCCCCATGCAAAGCAAAGCGACTCCTAGATTTGTTTTTTTTTTGGTAAGACAAGCGACTCCTAGATGGATCTTAGTTTTAAGCCCCATTTATTAAACAGTATAGTCCGGCCAAAATTTATCACATTTTTTAGGCAGGGGATGTAAGATCGTAATCACCAGTATAGTCCGGCCAAAAAAAAAACTCACTTTAAGTATCCACCAAAAAGGCCAAAAAAATATGTGATAAATATTTTTTAGGCAGGGGATGTAAGATCGTGATCATCAATATAGTCTGGCCAGGTCAAAAAAAACAAAAAAGGTAGCCTGATTTTTAATCTCTTCTGGTTGGTCCACTCACAAACCGTTGAACACGGTTATATCCATCTCCAAAGATTACTCACTTCTGGCCTGGTAAATGAATTCTAATACAAGAACAAGGAGATAAAAGGTCGGGTTCTTCGAAATAATCGAGATCTCAGGCAATGACCTTCAATTGGAATGGTCTCATGAATCATTCTGTGCCTAGTACTGGCTAGTAAAAGGCAGGTAAGTATAGATCATCAATGCTTTTATAAGAATTAAGCTTGCAAATGCAGGACTTGCCCCACATGCTGGCATCTGTATTAGTTTGTTAGCATCCTGGAGCAATGGGAATGGCTTTTTCTACTTCAGCTGTTCAGCACCCTAGCGAAATAAGTAGACAACTCTGCCTCAGCGACGCTTATATATGCAAGGCTTCAGCTCAGGCCATTCAATTTCTTTTGTCTCTGGACTTGCCTTTTTCTGCAAAAATGCAACAGTTAGAAGTTAGAACGACTTGGTGAATTCCATCTCCAGTTATCCCTACCATTCCATGAAAAAGTCGAGATCTCAAATACAAAACCATAGATAGTCATCACATGAAACAAGACTGGGTTGTCATACCTTCTTGAAGAAAAACAAGACAAACATTTTATTTGAGAAATCCTGCACATAATATGGACCAATTAGCACCTCACCTAAATGGAATGCCTAGTCGGTTGCAAATTGGAACATCATGTTCATGAATAACCTTGTTACCTTAGATACTGAATTAAATCCAAGTTCACAGACAGCTTTCAAAAACCCATTAGGGTCAGCTCCACCATTGTTTGGATCAAACCTGCTTTTCACCTCTGCTATCAAAAGCCAGCCACTGCAGAACGAAAGGGAGACTCTGGTCATGACCTAGAAAGTATAGACAACTTGAGAAGAACATATCTAATAAAAAAAAAGAAAAGAAAAAGAGAAAGCATTAGATCAATCTGGTGCACACCATGGCTTCAGAACTCTGTGTGCTTCCTGTAAATAACTTGGGAAATTGGTACCCATCAGAGAGAGACAGAACACAGCAACATCAATTGATGAAGAGTCAAGGGGTGTCTGTGAAGAACAGAACATGTTCGTAGAAGAATGTTTCTTAAAAAGTAAACCATCTATCAATAGGCACCAAAGTGTGTACGGATTTAAAAATTTTGAAAATGCATGTCAGAAGCCCAAGTGCAGAAATCCAGAAACATAATCAACAACAGTGAATACTTTAGTTCAATGTTTCTATGCCAAACTCAATTGAGCCTTAACCAAGTCTATTTAGGGTCAGCTACATGAATCCCATTCCACCATTGTGCTCTATCGAGAGCCATGTCTTATGTCAAATTACAAGTACTTACATCATCAACTTAAGACCGTGCTTCTTTGGTCTTTCCCCCCTGGCTTTATTAGAGCCATCTACTTGAACCATAGGGTTCAAATTGTAAGATTCATAAGGCAGGTGAAACAGTTTAAGATTCATATGGAAATAAGAGAAAATCCTGAAGCCCATTGTTACCTGTACAAAAAGAATGAATATTGAGTACCTTCTTATTGACCTAAGTTTTGGTTCAATACCCTTTTGTCTAATGAATCCATTTAATTATAATTGTATCCCCTTCTAATAAGAAGAACCAAGAACAAATAAGGAACTATTTTTGTCAACTTCACTTTTAATTGGATCATGCCCTAAAGTACCAAGTCTCTGTCCATGCCTTGCATTTACAGGGCCTATCTAGTAAATATCAAAAGAATCTATAGAAAAAGCACGTGACAAAGCCCTGGTCATCAAACTATCATATTAAAGTATATCCTTGCTAAACCACTGCAAAAAATTGATTATATGTAGGTAAATAAGTCAGATGGACGTAATAATTTTACTTGATAACAGTGGGAGGGGACCATGCTAAAGGTCTTAAAGGAAGGGCCTTAATACTATCTCACAGAAATAAAGAATATTAAGGAATAAACATAAGAATTGGCATATTGAGTGAATTGCAAATCCTAAGCTACTGACGAGAAAAAGAATTAACTAAACTAAATAGGAGAACTAATATCTAATTTTTGTCTTCTGAATGTACAGCAAAAATGGAAACAGCAATCGATTGAATGTGGAACATTATTCAATAAGCAATCTAAAAAGATTTCAAATGAAAGCACATACATTTGACATATCACAAGCAATTATTGAAGGGTCATTTGACACAAGATCAAAGGAGAAGACTTTATTCTTCACATTTCTTGCAAGGCGTCCATCCCCTGGAATACAATCAAAAGACGCAAATTTAAACAGTAACCAAAAGATGTAACCAGCCAGTGTGTGAATCATTCAGGTATGGATGTCATGAGTGAATTTCCATTCCAACACATGTAAGTTTAAAAGGGTAAAATAATGATTCTTCATAGTTTCAAAGTTGTTACCACAGCCAAAATCAGCAACTGTCAAAGAAGGACTCTGACCCTTAAGCCAATTAGTGATGATATTGACTGGCTGCTCTGGCCAATGTGACATTTGCTCTTGATATCCTGCATGATACTGGTGCATAAGGTTATTTTACAGCCATTCATATTAAGAGATCAAGTCAATACAATATAGAAACAAGCCAAAAAAGTATGCAAAAGCAAGGTGGTAACCAACATAAAGAGTGAGGTAAGCATCATTTGGGATTATTTATGCAAAAAGATATCTTTCATACTAGTAGCAAAAAAGTATGCAGACCAATGTTTTAAAAACCGACCTGGAGGCTGAACTGTTTTTGCCTCCAGGCACAGGTTACTGGTTCGATTGTCGAGGTCGAACGGGTCAGCCATTACACATCAGCACATGTAACACACTGTGTGTATAAACATGTATTTTATCAATAAAAAATGTATAATTATTTTTAGATGTAATATATGTATATATAAATATTATTTTATGCTTAATTTATATTTTTTTATTTTTAAAAAATGTTAAAAAGAAAGATCACCCCAATTGGATATCTGAGCACAACGTTATGGCCTCCGAAAGCTTGCACATACATTGACTGTGCAACCCGTGACCCCGGCGACCAGGTCGAATGGGTCAACTGCCCGAGTCGGGTGGTTTTTAACCAAAGACCAGGTTTTGGGAGAACCAGACCCAGAATCATGGCCCAGTGATGGTTTGAACAGTTCAACTGGCTGGATCAACGATGGGTGGAAAACACTGATGTAGCCAATAGAAATAGTGATAGCATGGCTTTAATTGTTCTTTGTGTTACAGTTGGTTTAATAAGCACCAACTTCAGGGCTTCACGGACCTTGGGAATCATAAAATGTTGGCAATGAGAAGAAAAACAACTAGTTGGGATCATCATGCACCTTATCATTGGTGGGAGCCTTGTGCACTGGGCTGCCCTTTTCACAGAAATGCTGATATCATGGGTTTAATCATTTCTGTGACAATTGAATCAATAAGAACCCACTTCAGTTTCTGCGACAATAGAAAAGCATAGAAATGGTGATATCATGGGTTTACTTGTTTCTGTGACAATTGAATAAAAAAGAACCAACTTCAGTACATCAGGGACCTTGGGGATCTACAAAATGTTGGCCGATGGGAAAAAACACAACTATTTGGGGTGGTCCCATGTCTTATGATACAGTGAACTTCCAAAACAACTAAAGCAGACAAAGGGCCTTTAGCTGGGGCCTTGGAAGAGGTAGATCAAATATAGACCTAACCTTTGCTTTTTTTTTCTTGGTGCAGAGTGGCTATTTTCATTCTCAAACTAGCACTCTCATGCCTGTCAACCCAATGACTAAGTTTAGCACTCGCCACTCAGCAGTATTTCCCATTCACCTTTAAGGCTAAATTCTTTTTTTTTTTTTAATGTTCTCCTAACCTGATTGAAACCCAGCCTGAAGGATTTTCCAAGATGAAGCCACCAAATCTAAAAAGCCAAGTTGTCACACCAATAGAAATAAACAGAAAATGAGAAAAATAGCCAATATAATGTACTTCAGTTCCATCCTAGAACAACACACACACACACAACTCCTTTTCCAAATAGCTGACTATAATTGTCAACACCTTCCAGTGGTTCATATTTTTTATCAATTTTCCCGACTCCAGTTACAGTAAGATAGTTTACCAAAGAGTTCAGCAATGCTCTGAACTACCTTCTCTCTTTTTTTTTTTAATCTTCTTTTTTGTTTATAAATGGTGTCTAGGTCATATCAGGCTAAAGGAGAAGTCACTCCATAGACAAAAAAGATTTTTTTTTTATTGTTAAAAGTTTTAATTTAATTGATTATTGAAAAAGAATGTCATGTACAAAGATGTTGTTGGACTAGAATAATCTATACAACTCCAAGTGTACAATATTGTGGTATATTTCCTCAATAAAATTGTGCCCTATTCACCCCCAATTTTGCCATTGAGTCTGCCATGTTGTTTGCTGTTCTTTCTACCCAATTGAAACATACCACCAGTTCTGTAGCTAACTGCCTTACCTCCCTAGTGATGTGTCTATAGTGTCAAGAAATCTGTTTATTCCCCCTCACCAGCTTCCTACAACCTTGGATTCTCCTTGCACTAGAAAATTTCTGAGTATTTTGCCAGCCTCAAACCCTGTAATACTGCCAATACTTGTGTTCTAGAAGAATTCCCAATTCCTGCAGGTCCTGAGTAGATTGCAAGAACCTCCCCTTTGCTATTTTCAAAGAGCCCGTAGTTAAAAAAGATCAAGATTGATTATTGGGAAGAAATCTTATCGTGAGTTACATGTATATCAATGCACACATAAATCTTCTATACATAAAAAGAAGAATACAAAAACTATATCCAGCTATGAATCACAGAAATAAATAAATATTTAGAAGAGAAGCCCTCAATTTTTTCTTTTAGAATTCAGCATGACTGAGCTAGAGTCCTTTCAATTATGCCAATGAGCATCTACAAAATTAGATCTTTTGATCAAGATGCAACCATTTCTCTCCTTCTACACACTCCAACAAAGAACATAGGGTAGCAGGTTCCAAAGTGTACTGCCTAACCACTGAACCCCACCTTATAGGCCATAAGTATATGACAATGTGGATATCTCTGGGTATGACCGAATTCCCTTTAAGACAATAACTCTCCCCCATTCTGCATCTGTGAAACCCTAACCCTAGTTTTATCGTTTCTCTGTGGTCGCAAAGTCTTCGCAAGTCCTAAACCCCATTTTACTTAACTTAATTTCCTGATCTTTGTTCTCTATCAGATCTCTGGGTTGTTAGATATTCGGGAAAGGTAAAAGGTTAAGGGATTGAAATCTAAGGGTGCATCATTGGAAAACGATTCAAAGCCCTCTGACGGCCAGCACACGGGAGAGGGAGCGAGTCCTGGAGGACGGAGATGGAGAGAGGCCGAAGTGTAGGATTGCTTCAGAAGGTGAACAGGTGGAAAACTGAGTTGAAGGTAGAGGCCAAGCGATTTTTGCTTGATCTTGGAAGGGCTGGAGGTAGAAACCAGCTGAAAATTAGAGAAGATAGAAGGACCACAGTAATTCTAACCGATGCAGCAGTACTGTGGTTGAAAGGTTTATCAATGGAGTTACATTTTCTGTAAGGAAAGAAGGTTGGAGGAACTCATTAGAAATTCATAGGAAGAGATTTGAAGTAGAACAGAGAAGGAATGGAAAAGGCTGGTTCATTAGTGTCACTGAGTTATTTGATAATAGAAGGCAGTTGGTGTGCTTTCTGGAAGGGAAGGAGGGACAGGGCTGGTTGGAGGTTGCAAATAAGTTACAGGAATTTCTATTACATACTGCTGGTGGACTGATAAAGGTGCAGGATGCAAACATGGAGGTGTCCAGTGAGCATGAGCCCATAACCCAGATAGCAGCGGACAGAAGTGAGGAAGTGCAAGAAGTTCCAAAACAGAGATCATCCTCTGGTGGAGGTTAAGAGATTCCAAATTGAGGCGGAGAAAACTGTTTGGGAGAGGAGAATGTAATAACAGCTACTAAAGAGGTGAAGAACTGGAGGAATTTGCTGGACACAGGGGCATGTAACGTAGGTACTTCGGCTAATATAGCTTTGAAGCCATTCTCTGATAGGAAAGCATTAATCGATGTTGATGAAGAAGAATAGGACTTCACTACCTTTGAATCCGAACTGGGTTTGCTTCAGCTCCAGAAGTGGAAACCGCTCTGTAACGAACTGGAACAGCACTCGGGAAGTTTTTCACTTAAGCTATTTGGCCTTCCGTTTCACTTGTGGAGCGAGCCAAACTTGGAGAAACTGGTTACGATGCTGGGAGGAGCTGTGATGAAGTTTAATCTTCAAGATCTTGTCGCTGCCGAGGTCAAGGTTGCAGGAGTGAAACCAGAAATGATACCCAGATTGGTTGAAGTGCTTTCAAAAGGTTGCTGGTATCGTGTATGGCTAGTTCGGAAGTGGAAGCGTCTCTTTGGGGAAGAGGTTCCAAGGTTGAAGATACTGACATGGCGGGCTGGTATACACATGGCGCACACTCGGTAGTGAACAACAGGGGCGCGCAGAGAAGTCCCTCCGGGGAAGCTGAAAAGCTAGCAGAGGAAAACTTTAAAAAATTTTCAAATTAACAGGTGAGAAGGTGGGCTGGGCTTCCTATGCTGACGTGGCCAAAAGAAGGGGTGGTCCGGTCAGTATTAAGGGGCGCAAGGGTGAGTCTGAACCAAACCAGATTAGACCCGGTTCATTGTTGAAGGCATTAGCCGGCCCACATGATTGTTTAAGTGATCACGTGGGTAGGGGCAGATTTCGTGCGACACTAGACCGAAAGGCTGGTCTAGCTTCTTCTCCACCAAAGCCTGTTAGGGCTGGTTTCGACCAGGCATTGCAGATTGGCCCCAGACGCCAGTTGAAGTGGGTTGCACGCTCAGATGAAGATTCGCAAGGTACGGATCATTCCGTCTTAGGATGGTGAGCTCCAAGGAGTGCTCAATCTAGTGCGATTGCCGGGAAGGAAGCGGAAATTGATTGGGTGGCTTGCAGCGTGGAGGGGGTTGACAAAGAAGATGATTCGGATGGTTCTACCAGTTTAGACAGTGTAACTGAAGAGACCTGGCAGCTAGAAGAAGTGGAAGACACACTAAACCTAGGGCGCCTCTTTTTGGAAGAAGCTGGAAATGAAGTTCTCTTTGGTGTGAAGTCCCGAATTGTAGGAGGAGAGGAGGTCAATATAGCAGAGTGCAATCAAATGCTAGGGGAAGGAAATCTGCTCTCAAAGACAGAAGCTCCTTTGCCGAACCAGTTTGCTGGGCAGGATGTTTGTAAGGAAGGACTTGAGGCTTCTCAGTGCCAAAACAGGAATGCTTCAGCAAGGAATAAACAGTTGGGTACAAAGAGTAGTCCCTGTGAGTTACAACCAAAAGGAAATTTACCAGCTCAGTTCCATCTCGAGGATTTAGGACACACTCACAAACCAATACAGGGAGTGCCGGATTCCAATTTCAGACCCTGTAACCCTCCTCGACTTCAGCAAAACTCAGGAATCTACGTCCATTCGTTTTGTGTTACTAATGATTGTCTGTTGCCTACTGTCCC